TCTAATTAGGCTGAATAAGCACCCAAGACTTGTTTAAAATAACCTGGGCCCTTTGGGGAAGGGCTGGTTCAGAGGATTAATTGCAAAGTCTTTGTAATGAATATGCCAGGCACCTATCAGATAAAATCACTCAGATTTGCTCCAAGTTGAACTCCACTTTGAACTAGGTCCTATGAAGGTGAATGAAGCTTAATCTGCGGTTATCTGGGTGGAATTTGATCCTGTTAGTCCTGATGAATTAAGGTTCTAAAGCAGGGTTCTAGGGTTCTAGCTTAGCTATCTGTATATTCAAATCCATGTCCCTATTGACTGGTTAAAGCTTCCCAGCAGGTGGTTTCACTATCCCTTAAAGAAGCCATCCTAAAGACAACAGTGCTGAATAATTTTTGTACCACAAACAGAATCAGTGTGCAATTTGGAGGTTCTTTTGGATTCCCAAATATTGTTTTAGAAACGTGGCAACCATGGCCAAGAGCAGTTTTGTACAACTTTGTATTGTGTGCCAATCTGTTCCTAGTCACCATACCTTAATCACCTCCTGAATGGGGTAGTGCAATGTGCTTTATATAGGGCTGCCCTTGAAATGCATCCAGAAGCTGCAATTAATTAGGGTGACTGAGGCCCCATCAAATTTGCTTGGAAGTAGGTATTGTTAACACTAGAATATAATCTGTTAGTTTTTCTCAGTGAAAAATTTACCTTGTGTGTTCCTTGCCTTCTAGAGAGAACTTGCAGCTGGGCATTAAGACAGGCAGTTTCTCGCTGTAATTTTTCTTGATCTGCCAAACACTTCGATATTAAGCCACTCAGACGTTCCACTTCAGCCTGCAGAAAACTGCATTTACATGCAGATGATTCCACAGGCAATTTCCCTCTATCACAGGATTCTGCTGAATCCAAGACTAGCTGCTGTTAAAAGAAAATTGAGGAGATTCATGAATAAGTGTTATAGAAAACTGAAAATCAATACTATAGGTAATCATAGCTGGAAGAAGAAATTAGAACTACTAAAAGCCTAACAGATCAAAATAGTACATAATAGGAACTGAATTCTAGAATAATTAGCTAATTAGCAAATCTCTGCCAATGTTCTAGTTATAAACCTGGAATATATATTCCTTTGGGAACAAGGAAGATTTCATTATTTTTGAAAACCTTTCTGCTTCTTTAATGCTCTTTTCATATTCTTGTGTCTTCCCAGTTTTACTTATTTATAAAATTTATAGGTCCCCTATTTTACCTCAAGGTAACTCTGGGCGGCTTACAATCATAAAAGATAAAATTTTGTGAAACTATGACGAGATAAGGGTAGAATGAAATGTTCTTTACTAGCAATGGTCTCACACAATTCTTAGAAATCTCTATTTATAGTTTTGAGGGGAATGGTTTCTGTCATCCAACCTTAAAAGCTTACACACTTTATACACTGAATTATATTTCTTTCTCAGTTATGTAGATCCTTTTAGCCTAATAATTTCATGTATCTTATTTCATCTCTTAGATCAGCGGCTCCCAACCTTTTCTATACCTCATACCCCTAGAACGCTTCTGATATATTCTCATACCCCTTACAAACGTTCAAAATAATGGCAATGAATTATGCATATACACCATAATTTTGAAAACCTAAGTTTTCACATCCCCTGGAATATCATCTCACACCCCCAGGAGGTGCGAGCACCCCCGGTTGGGAACCCCTGTTTTACATGAACATTTTTTAAACCTTTCATTTTGCACCTTATTCCTTCCTCCAACCCAGATCCCAAACTACAGAAACTATTTCCATATAGTTATAGAAGTTTACATTACCCAAGACTCTGATTTGGATTCGTTAACATCAATTGGTGTGGGTGAAGGCATATGGAGTCCTTTTAGTTCATTGTAGGGAAAAGTTTCTTTGTCAGATCTGGAAGAGGCTAAGCTTTCAACAGAAGGGGTTTGTGGCATTGGGATGAACTCTGCATTCTCCAGCTCCTATGCCCAAGCAAATAAGAATATAAAGATATCTAACATGCTTATGTTGGGTATTACAAAAGAAATAAGAATGAGAGACCGATTAATTATTTAAAAAGTAAACGCTTTCTTTTAGCTCTGTCTAATATGTTGAGGATAGTGCATTCACTGCATTGTAATTGCTGATGATGCATTAGATATTTTAGCACACTAATTAAAGAGTATATTCTTTGAGATATATTCTGAATGAAATGGAATTCAATATTCCATTTCTGTTAAAAGAAACACTGCCTACAATGAATAATTGTTTTAACTGTTGAAGAGAAACTAACTGCTCTTCAGGATTATAAATTCATCTAATCTATATAAAGAAGTACTGTATACAATAGTATTAACTTGTTTCAGCTTTTTCTCAAAAACTAGATGGAGAAATTTTAAAAAATGCTTGCATCTCCTTCAATATTAGTTTTTAAGGGAAATTTTAAAGTACAAAATTACAAGAAAATATCAAACATAATAGTAAAATGATTTTATTCTGATAATTTAGTCCAAGCACAAATTTGGATTTGTTGCTTTCCACAAAGTTAAGATGAAACTCTTATTTCATGTAAAATTATGAAAAAATCTGCTCTCAACAATGGAAATTTACTGCTGAATTTTTCCTTATGGTTTTTATAAAAATGCCAATTGAGGCTATTCATGTTTTAGAAAAAGCCATTAATTCCAACTATTAGAAAAAGTTTTCCTTTTCCTTTTTTCTAACCATAGCAACAGTGAGTTACCTTGCGCAGCCAACTAGGACAGGAGCTGCTAGCAGCATTGCTATCTACAGCTACTTCTGTTGTGCTGATCTGATCTCCCATTCCGCAATCTGCTTCCATCGTTCTCCGGAAGCCTCTGCTATTATCAGGGCTCTCAGAATCCTGCTCAGTTTCTTCTTCCTCATTTGGTTCAGCTGTAGAACCCTGGGCCACTAAGACAAAAGAGCAGGGAATTAAAAATCTTAAATATTTGCTCATTTTAAGAAAATCTAACATTCTTGAAAATGCATGTATTGTCAGAATGGAGTATCCTTAAGACAGAATGCAGAATAAAAAACCATTGCTAATAAAAAAAACCAGAGAATTCTCATTTAATGACCATTTGTCATTAGCAACCGTTCAAAGTTACGATGGTACTGAACAAAGAGACTTATAACTAATCCTCAAAATTCCAGCTGTTGTGATACACATGATGTTTTACTTAACAGCCACATCATTTAGCAACAGGGTTGCCAGTCCCCATTAGAATTGTTAAGCGAGAACTACCTATAATGTGTAGAACTGAGGGCAGGGAGACAAAGAATCAAATTTTGGGGGTTTTACGAGGATTTAGTTCAGTAAGGAACTGCCACCATGATGATGCCGTGATGTTATCTCACAGTCAACACGAAGACAAAATTTATTTTGCCATAACATTTCACTTTTGCTATATCTGTTTTTCAATTACCACAGCATTGTAGTCATACATTTCTTATTTTCTCTACCAAAATCCTAATACTCTTGTATGTTAACGTCACACTAGCTGCTTTTCCTCTTTTTGTTCAAAATTATTGAGAACAGTTTTTGAATCCTTGAACATGTTGACAGGCGCGGGACGACTCAATGCATTACAGCCAATTGAAATGAGTGGGCCGGTGACGCGCTCAAGGAGCAGGGCACAGAAGCAATTGGCTACATAAGCGAACTCCCGGATCTCCTTTTACTTTCACTCTGACGATGTCAGCAGTTTGGCCGATGAAAGCTAAGTAACTTTATAACAAACAAGCTTGTTTATATTAAACAGTCTTGCTTATACTTCTATTCTGGTGTTCGATTTTCCTTTTGGTTTTGCTAACATTATATATTTTCCACGTATTTAATTGGCCCAACAATTTCTTTTTAGAATTGTTTTCATAAATGCATATTGTAATCATTGTGTAGATTGTACTCAATCGGTTTCCTTGTTTTAAATTCATCTGGCATGAATAAAGTTTATCTTCTCCTAAATTCCAGCCTAATTTGGTGGGGGGGGGAAATCACAAAAAGAGCAGAGATTCCAAAGAATTCATATCTGCCAGAATGTTCTGAAAGAGACTATAAATATTTAAAATGTATTCCAAGCAACTGAAATATTTAAGCAAGGTACATTGGTTAGGGAAAGCATAACTTCATTCTAGCAGTTAAATGAAATCTAGAAGATTGAAAAGACCTATAATATTGTAGTAGCTAGTTACTCAAAATGTCTTCCAAGAGCTAAGGGCCTGCTATCCAATTCTGGTCCTCTTCCACCCAGGCAAATTGGACTTTCTTAAATTCATCTTAATGTGATAATAGTTTTAGCATCATATTATATTATTACACCAGACAAGTCAACAAAGAAAGGCCATATAACTGCATTACGCTATTCTCCAATGAATGAAATGAAGGCAAAGAACAAACTGCTAAAGTGATTAATCAAAATAAATTCTGTCTTGCATAGTAAGGCCTTTATAGTCTATCTAGCAGTTATATCTTGACTCATTACAATCTACATTGTGATAATTGTGACTTGCAGTGAGAACAGTGACTTTTAAAGCAGCAACTTATTCAGTTGTTTATGCCGGAGATTGAACTTGATACATTTTTATGCAGAGGATGTGCTATTCTTCTGAATTATTCTTGTAATATTTTCTATAACAGAGTATTACTAACAGCCTGATTACTTACCAGTCCCAATGGACAGGCCACTGCTACTGGAACGAAGGATGGTTTTAGAATTTATAACTTTTTCTGGAGGAAAAAAAGAACATTTTCTCAGCTCAAGATTTAAAGAATATGGGAAACTGATATATAGATATGACTCATTCCTACATATGAATCCAAGTAATATGTTGTATCTTATAGTCAGAGAAGAAGATGAATGATCTACCTTCAGATCCCAGCATTTTTATACTTACCAACAATTATTATGGTATGCCATCCATGGCAAGATAAATCTGGGACATAATGCAAGGAGCCAAAAATGGGTCGAGGCCACGATGTACAAATATCAGAACTGTGAGCTCTCTCTGTTGGTGTCATTGCTAAACGGCCATTCCCTCCATTACCCCATGCAAATATATGGTTATCTGGAAAATAAAAAAGTTTATCATCTTAAAAGTCAAGAACTCCACTCTAGGTTTGAATGATTATTATTTATTTCTATTTAAAAATATAATAATGACCAAAAAAACACTGTGATTCTTATAGGAATATGGTGTTTTGTGAGGCTTAATTATATATTAATAGCAAAAAAGTACTTCCTGACTTATAATATATTGCATATATATTGTGCTTTCCAGTCAGTTTGGATTTTTTATTATTTATTTATTTATGAGACTTATATACCGCTTTAAGTGCAAGCACTCTCTAAGCGGTGTACACCAGTAAGCAATGTATATATATATTTACATTGCCCCCAACAATCTGGGTCCTCATTTTACCTACCCCGGAAGGATGGAAGGCTGAGTCAACCTTGAGCCGGTGAGATTTGAACCGCTGACCTGCTGAACACAGTCAGCTAAAGTGGCCTGCAGTACTGCACTCTAACTGCTGCGCCACCTCGGCTCTTATAATCTATAAGCCAGACATGTCAAACTTGCGATATCATGTGACGTCGTGAACGTATCGGGCCAGTTTTGCTGTTGCTGGCAATGGGGTGGGCGTGGCTTCCAGATGACGTGTCCGGCCTGTGGGCCAGCAGTTTGACATCCCTGCTCTAAACAAACCATTTATGATTCTTTACAGACTACTCAGTTTAAAGAAATTCACATCAACCTACTAATGCATATACTTACCATCAGTAGCAGCTATGGTGAACTCATCACCACAGGACACTCTGATGACCTGTTTTCCCCCAAGGGGCCCTCCTAGTAAATTAATGCCCAGGTGCTTCTTATAATCCCCAACACCCAACTGTCCACACTTATTGGAGCCAAAAGTAAGCAGACGACCCCGCTCTGAAACAAAAAAAATTAGGTCATTAAGAACTAATAAAGCAGAAAGCTGAGAAACACTGTCAAATAGTATGTTGTGAGCTATAATGCAAGACATCATTTAGAACACTTGATCATTATTTGTTTTGAGGTTATAGATCACCTTTCCATGGTAGTATGAAAACAGCTTCATTCATCTTAAGCGAATTTAATAATAATAGGCATCATTTCTTCATATTTTTAACCAACATACATGTTTTTCTATTAGTGTTGATTATGGTCAAGATAATTTTAGTCAGATACAGGCCCATCTGGAATTTTGAAAACAAAATGGCTGTAGTCCATTGACAGTGTAGGTATATTAAGTCACAAGACTCCATAATCAGTAGAAGAAAATCTTACTAGAGAGAATCCTGAGGTATTCTACCATTTCCTTAGCTCAGTGGTGGCGAACCTATGGCACGGGTGCCAGAGGCAGCACTCAGAACCCTCTCTGTGGGCACGCGCGCCGTCGCCCCAGTCCTAGGCCTTCAGCTGGGTTTTATAAAACCTTTTCGCTTTAGGCCTCCACCACCGTGTACAAAAAAAAAAAGGTTCAATTAATCAGTCAATTTCAACTTCTCGCGGGGAAAAAAAAAGATCTTGCAAAGTTGGAATTGATTGATTGAACTTTTTAGTCCCATCCAGTCTGCCGTTACCACTGCAGCCACGCCCACCCAATGGGCCACACCCACCCATCACCCAACGATGCATAAGTGGGTTTTGGGTTGCAGTTTGGGCACTCGGTCTCTAAAAGGTTCGCCATCACTGCCTTAGCTCCTCCTTATAAGGTTATATACAATTTCAGATTGTCTCTTTTCCTGATCAAATAGGAAACTTTCAGATAAGAACGGAGCTGCAATCACTTCCATTTTTCTTGTCAAAGAATTCCTATATGGCACATGTGCATGGACACACACAGAGAAACATATTTATTTCAGGAGTATTATTCTAATAATAATTAGCCTGCAGATTGATGTCTTGCTTTTTCATTTATTCATGTAAATGGTGTAATTGAATATTTAATGTAAATTAATTTTAGTGCTGTCTTCCGGAGGTTCAATAGAACAGTTCTGTCCTAGTTCTCTGGAGGCTGGGTTCATCTGATTCACCATCAACTGCTGGAGGGCAATCAGCCACAGTCAAGCTAGCAGAAAGTTGTAAGTTGCTCCTGTTCCCACTGCTTTGTTGCCCTTAGTCATTCTGTTTCTTTGTATAGGTAGGGAAATATCTCTGAAACTCTTACCCAATAGTTCATTAGTTGTCTCATTTTATTCCCCACTGCTAAGAATTTCAGAGTTAACATTCAAGATTTTATTTTTAATCCAATAAACTAATTTTCCCTGCTGACTGCAATGGTGTGAGATAGTTGATGGAGCTAATTTAACAGATTTAATATGTATTATTAGTTAAAATGTGCAATAATTGTAATTGTAATTCTGTCTTTCAGATAGAGGTTGATAGTTAAAAAGGCAAATAAATATACAGTAGGTAAGCTTGGTTGAAAGAGGAGAGAACTGCAGGAAAACATAATAGCTATCTTCAGTATCTAAAAAGCATTTTTGTAGAAGATAGGAGTGAACAGTTCATGTTAATTCAGAAAAGAAAACAGGAAAAAAGAGTTTAAATTACAAAGAATTAAATTTTAATTAGTCATCTGGAAAATGTTGCTAAAGGATGTTTAACAGACCAGATTGCCTTGGAAAGTAACGGATTCTCCTTTGGTGGAAGTATTTAAAAAGAAATTAGATGGCCATCTTTCAGAGATACTAGAGGCTTCCTGAATTGAGCAAAGGATTGAACTAGATGATCTCTAAGGTCCTTTCTAATCTTTAAGTGCTATCACTCTATAACTCCTAGTGACTACATCAGTGCAGTTACCTGTCAATGCTACTGGGATGGTTTGCATTACCTTCTTCCAGTGTTTTGTTTAATTCTATAACTTCCCAGTTTAGTTAATAGCTTTAAGATCCCCAGGCTATCACTTATACAAGTGAGTAATAACCAAAAACTGATACTGCTGAGATTAATCTGCTGTCACCTACTGAAGTTGTAGGTTAGTTTACCATTATCTAGAAATAAAACTACATCACAAGATAATAATTTGATATTACCATCGATGGCAGCAGTGTGTGTCTTTCCTGGAGCAATAGTGCGAATCTTGTAGAAAGAGAGTTTCTTGGCCAAAGTAAAAGTTGTAGCATATGGGATTTCTTGATAAGCCTATGAGAAGACATCAATTTTATAAAACCAAAGCCATGATTCTGTACATGCTTACACTTTAATCAAGAACAATGCATGCAAAGCTTAAGAATGTCTTAATATAAGACTCTTTGTGAATAAAGCAGTATTTATTGGTTCTTGTGTAGGCTTTCCAAACATGCATAAAATTATTTTAGAAATGTAAACCATATTCATTTGTGTCCCCCCCAGTTCCTTTTAATCTGTTAACAAAAATTTTGTTATGAATTTTAAAAATTATATTTATAAGCATCTATCATGAAAATGTTATTTCCCTACTTTCATACAGTGCCACTCACATCATGATTAATGATCCCTGATGTACACTGGTTCAGGCCTAGCTTGTTGAATTCATTCAGACCACAGGCCAACACCTTGCCAGCTTGTGTGAGCAGAAAGGTTCCATCACTGCCACACTGGACCGAGACAATATTGGAAGTCTTTTGAATTTCTACCTAAAAAAGAAATACATAAGATACCTCAACAACTAAACACAGTTGCTGCAAAGTCCCAAACAACAGAGACTTGGGTTTTGTATATATAAGACCCTAGTTTCAATCCCTGGCATTTCTTGACACCTGGAGTGGGAAAACGATAGTTGTGAAAAGAATCAAAGCCCTTCTAGTTTGCTACACGATAGTGACAAGAAGTCACTATTCAGAATACAATGAGAATTTACAAAATAAAGGCAGCCATTTGAAACATAACAATTATACAGTTAGTCCTCAGCTTACGACTATAACTGAGCCCAGAGTTACAGTCATAAGTTATTGCAGTTGTAGGCTGAGGCATCACATGACTGGTCCAGATTTTTTGCAGCAGTCAATAAGTGAATGCCACAGTCATTAAGCAACTGTGTAGTCATTAAGCAAGTCAATTTTCCCCAATGGACATTTTTGCCAGAAATTAAAGTTAACACTGGAAACTGGCAAAAAAAGTAAAAAAAAAATCACAGTCAGGTGACCTGTGGGACTCTGCAAATGACCATAAAGGGGAGCCGGCTACCAAGTGCCCAAATATGATCATGTCCCTGCAGAGTGTATACGTATATGGCCATCATAATTTTGAAAACAAATCATTAAATAGCTTTTTTTTGGAGGGAGACATAACTATGAACATTTGTTAAACAAGTGGTCAGAAATCAAGGACTACTTGTATACAGTATGTTAAAAGAAAAAGCACAATCACTTTTTACAAGTAACACTTGGAACACATATAAGGAAAACCTCATATCAATTTGGCACTTTAAAAATTAGTATTTCCAATTTAAAAGAAAAGCGAGGATAGGATAAACCTTTGTCTAGCACCATGGAGATATGCTGTTAATCAGAGCAGTTGTGCCTGATTAGTTATGTAAAGCAATATTTCTTCTATCTATCATCTGTTTTATATACAAAAAAGTAAAATAGAGTCATATGGAAAGGAAAGAAAAAAGAAAAAAAAAGAAAAATGGGGGAAATGGGGAAGGAAAAAGGGAAGAGAAAGAAATATAGGGTAAAGGAGAAAAAAAACAATGACTTCTAACTCTTTTGGTGCAGTAGAATAAAATAGTAACATTACAACCTCAAGTTTTTACTTTTACATACTAATATGTACTAGCCATGTACTAGCCTATAACAATGAATGCATCTCATTAGAAAAACCCAGAGTCAAAGTTTCATTGTTTTCATCTCAAATATAAAATATTTGCTCATCTTCTATCTAACTCTACATGGCTCCCAATCAAAAATTCTTTCCCCTTGTCTGTATTAATTTACAAAACCTTAACAAATATTTGTTGAATATTTGCTGAATAGGAAAGAAAATGTCTCAAGACTGAATTATTCTAGAAACGCAGGAAATACAGTTAAATTCAATTAGCTTTACCTTTTGTGGGATGGAGTGATCCTCTTCTGAATCCAAACCCAAGCGGCCTATATTTGGGGAGAAACAATAATGATGAATACAGGTAATAATGTTCAGATTCAAAGAAAGTTGTCCATCAACCATCTACCTTTCCAGAAGTACAAATCTTCATTTAATCTGGTATATCATGATAGTGCTCCAAGGAAATTTACTTCTATCAGTCATTAATCTTTGTCAAAGATTAAAGACTGCGTGTAGAGTAACCTACCATATTCTCCACAGCCCCATGTGTAGACCTCATGATTTCGTGTCAGCACTGCCACATGATTATCTCCACAGGAAACCTGTTCCACTGGATTGCTGGAAAAAAAATTGATCTGCCGGGGCTCCAGGACCTCAGACCCAAAAGCCTTGTCAATGCCAATGCAGCCATAGTAATCTGAACCAAAAGCAAAGGCTTGACCTTCATCTGCATGAAAACAAGGGACACATGAATAACAGAGGATGTACATAAAAATACAGTGGTTATCTTCCTCTTTAATACAGGGAGAATTTTACTACAGTGCAGTCTAATTACTTAAGCTAGGTCCAATATGGCTTAATCTACTACAGTATCCTACAGACACTAGATATTTGAATTATATACATAAAGATTGACATTTATAATCTATGTATTTTTAATCTTTGCTTCTTTTTCATTTTAACGATTTTATACACTCAATCACAAAATGTAATACTGTATAAAGGCTAATGTACTGGCATTTCAAAGAACAAAAACAAATATAAGTTGGCTTTTGGAAGCTGTCCTAATTCCAGCAGCTATAGGTTTGTCTACTTTCCAGATTTACCAATACCTGAGTATTACATATTCTCTTGTATTTTGGGTAGTGTTTCTTTTAGTTAATACACCTTTTCAATTCTTCCATGACATTTTTGATACATTTGAAGGGCTGCCATGTTTCCTGTGTCTCTCACCTGTAATACAGATTGTAAAGTCATCACCACACGATACTTGACGAATAGCTTTGCCCTGCAATTTTTCCACATGTTTAGGCTGTCGATAGGAAGCTTTATCTCCATGTCCCAGTTGGCCATGCAGTTTAGTGCCTCCCTGCATGTTCTATTAAAAAAATACATTTGATAAAGTGGTCTAAGAGCCAAGGAATATTGTTAATGAAAAGAAACTAAAAAAAAATAGTATAGACTATCTAGGAACCAGAGACACCTCTATGCTCTGTGTTTCCACAGGATGAAGTGGCCTATTTTTCCTTCAGCATCTAAATAATAATTATAGGGGTTTTTTTGTAGGTGTCCTATGGAATGCTGTTCCAGATGACCATCCAAATTTTGGAATGCTTTTTGGAAGATGTGGGAAGTGAAGAAAGAGAGAAACTCTTGATCTTTGGACCATACTTACAGTAGGCAAACTCACTGAATGAGGGAATACCACTTAGGTATCCATAGGTGGATTAAAATTAGACATGTGAATTGTCTGCTTATGTAATACTATCAGATATCAACAGTGATGTAGCATATGTCAAAACATAGAACATTAAACTGGGAATTCACACAGAAAAATCCCTTCCTAAACATAGATATTTAATATGAGTTAAATTCCATTTTGTACTGTCTTCACATACACTGTATGTATGTTTCTCCAGGATAAAGTTACTACAGTACTTATAATGGTTGAATATTATTTCCAGCATTATTTTAATATCTATTTTACATGAGGTCCATTCTGCCTGAGTTCAAGTGCTGGTTGGAACTGAAAGCTCTCTAAAGATTTGACTATTAGCACTTCTGTATAGTCTTCTCCAGGTATAATCAGTCCACCCTACATAGTCTAGCTACAAAGATGCTATGGCTATCCACCTATGAGACAGATGAAGAGATTGGGAGATTAGTGGCAGCTCCTCCCCATGGAACAGCTTGCCCCATGAGGTTGAATTACCCCCCATTCTTTTAGTCTTAGGTAAGTTGGTCAAAGCAGTCTTCTTCTGAAGGACATTTGGTTAAGAAAATTTTAAATGAAGATAGCAAGAGTTATCATTCTGGGATTATAATGATGCTTATGATTTAATAAGTATACACTTATTAAGCCATCTACAGCTGCCTCAAATATGTGGCATATCAATAACTGTAAAATAAATAAAATGTTAATCTCTAGGAACACTTAATTCCTTCCAGCTGATAAATTGGGCCAAAGGCTATTTGTTTAGTTGCAGTTCCACTTGGAGGCAGCTGGAGCCTTATGTATTTGGGACATGAATGGATATCCATGCTCAATTGGAGAGGCCAATGTGATCTGTCATGATGACCTCCTTGCAGTACAAGATGCAAATTCCTAGTAGCACTTGATCCCTTCATTGATGGCAGGTGCCAAAGAATAATGTTTTGGAGAATTCCCCCCCCCCCAAACTTCCCAATTTTTTTTGACACTTACCACCCAAGTATAGAGCTCTTTCTCCACAGTTACCACTGCAAAGTGAGTGTTTCCTGCACAGACCTGTCGGGCACTGCAGCCATTTTTAATAACATCCAGCTTCTGAGGAGTGGACTTTCCACCTCCCCATACATATACTTCACTACTGCGTGAAGTCACCACTGCAATAGGTGCTTCATTCATAGTACTTGTTCTGTAAATCACAAGAGATCTGTATGGATACACTGTTTACCATGAGCTGCTTTTCTAAGCCTCTAAAGAGAAGATAGATGGGAAAAATTTAATTTCCAGATTCCATGCAAAAACACTTCATATAAGTGCTAAGAGTTTTCCATATTTATAAATATACGCTGGCATGCTTTAGATTCAGAGGCTAGACAGACAGCATGGAAACATGGAAGAAAGCAGCATGTTGTAAGACAAATGAAAATCAGAAATCAATTTGAAGACACATATATATAACTTTTGAATTTTTAGAAGCAGTGACATGAATAAACTTATGAGAAGGTGTACAAATACATTGACAAATTAAACCACTAGCATTTTTAGCTGTATATGTAAATTGTTCAGTAATACAGCACAATTTATAAATAGGGATTCATGTAACGTAAATGAAATCTAAAGTAAATGATGGGCATGGTTAACAACACAAGTAAAATTAAATATAAGATATCATAGTTTAGCACTTGTATATTTTACAATGAAAATGTCTTCAAGATAGTATTGTTTTAAAGTAATCATCTACCAAGAAAAGTTATGCAAAAGTGAGAAACAGTCAGTTTCAGGTGATCTATGCTTGGAACAAAACACACGCTTGTGGTCTCTGCTCAAACCAAAACACCTGGACCTCCAATATATATATTTGGCCTAGGCATAGAGCCAGAACACACACACCTGGGCATAAGTATTCCAGGGTGGGATACAATGGAGGAAAGGCAAAGCCATTGGTAGTGGCACTGAAAGGGATAGAAAGGTGCTAGGAAAATAGGACAGATAGCTGGTTGGATTACACCATTCCTGATGGCAATATTTGATGGCAATAGCGGAAGAGGAAATAAAAAAGACCCTGGGAAGCTTGGAAGAAAATATAGCTGACTGTTTGAGTTACACTGCACTTGAATTGAAGATGCAGCAACGGAATTCAAGCATGCAAACAGCTAAGAGAGGTAAGGACAAGTATGATGCTGGCTAGTGCAGAGGCCATGAAAAGGAGGCGGCAGAGAGGACAGATATATCAGTTTTGCCTACCCACCATGCAAGACCTCTTCAGATACTTACTACTGTACTGTATTATCTCTAGAGTGTCCCATTTCATTGTATAAACACATGCACACACAGAAAGCTTAGGATAGTCTTTGGAGCAGCGGAGGGAGCCTTCCAAAGAACACAGCTGTTTTTTAACACTTTTGTGTTTTGCCATGCTAAGATACTTGCAGAGAGCAACTATTTTCTTCTGTTCTACTCTTCAACATATATTCTTTTACCTTGGGCGTTTGTTTGGGCCATTAAGAAGTGCAACCTTTTCCTCCATATCCCTGCCAGGAAGAAAAACAGTAAAAATAGTGCATCAATACAGCTTTTTCAACAGGAATCATTATATGATTTGCGACACTGCAAATAATAATTTCATAAAATTCTACTGCAAGCTATTTCAGTAATGAAACATAAGGAACTTTGTCGACAGTAAATATTGAAATTTCTACATAATAGACAGTTACTCGGTGCTTGAAATATACAATATCCATAACATGCATAGATTAATATAGCCTGTATAAAAAATGGACATGCTTCAATGTTGTGTTATTAACTATGTAAATTGGGGGATCTCATAAACAGGAAATGGGGGAAGTAAATTTGCCATTCTCCTCAGCCCCTATGTTCCCAAAAATCTGCTCCCAAGGATTGGGGGGGTCCTTAATTGTTTGAGAGCTGTAGGGAAAAGAAGAAATTGACAAAAAAAACTGCCATGCATTAAAAAAAACCTCTTCTGGAAAAATGTTCCCTCTAGAAACATAATATATTCCTGGAAGGGATATATTATATTTCTAGAGGCATTAAACGTAAGACCACTAAGTTAAGACCAAACTTAAGAGTTTATTTCTCAGTTTAATTTGGAGTCCAATATTGAATTTCTACACCTAGAGGCAGGGAAATACAAACAAGTGAATCTAGTATATAGGGCAGTGGTGGTGAACCAATTGCACAGGTGCCAGAGGCGGCGCTCAGAGCCCTCTCTGTGGGCACGTGCGCCGTCGCCCCAGTCCTAGGCCTTCAGTGGGTTTTATAAAACCTTTTCGCTTTAGGCCTCCACCGTCGTGTGCAAAAAAAGAAAAAAAGATTCAATCAGTCAATTTCAACTTCTTGCGGGAAAAAAAAAAGATCTTGCAAAGTTGGAATTGATTGATTATACTTTTTAGTCCCACTCAATCTGCCATTACCACCGCAGCCATGACCACCCAATGGGCCACACCCATCCCCACCCAATGGGCCACACCCACCCGGCACTCAACGATGCATGTGAGTTTTGGGTTGCAGTTTGGGCACTCAGTCTCTAAAAGGTTCGCCATCACTGATATAGGACCTGGAACATGAAAAAAAAAAAAACAGAAACAAAAATCCAGTCCTGAGGATTAGGTCACAAAACTGTCCCAGAACCATAGTACAAATAAGGCTGTAAGGAGTGTTAGATCATCTGAATGAAGCCAAGGGAGTGAAAGGCCCAACCAACCAAGTGATTTTGCTATTTGAGGTCAAGCAGTCAATGGACCACCCATCCTCAGCCTCAAGTCAAAGCCAGCCAAATACTTCTACACAAGATATGGCATATCTCACAAGCACCTTCCCCATTCATGGAACTAAAAATGTAATGGCAATAGAATAACTGACTAATAATTTGCTGCCTCACAATACCTAATTGGTAAGTTGTGTTGTTAATTCAATTATGCCAATTTGGCTTACTTTCTCACACTATAATTATAATCTAATTTAGATTTTAAGAGTTTCAAGGCTGTTCAGCTCCTCTACTCTAGTAAGCCTCCGTGCTATCAGCACCACAAAGATCCTGCAGGAGAAGGGCAGTGTGGACAACCGTGGGTTCAGGCAGGATGAGAGCTGTGAACCATAAACACCAAGCTTTTGCTATGTCCCTGCACAGCAGTTACAGTGCCCTTGCTGACCTTATTAGGGACATTAAGGAGACAGGTATTGTGAAGATAACTCTAATAAGCAGGGGATTGTGGTCCGAGATGAAGAACTAGATTTCGACAGGGAGAAGTGTGAATCAGGTATTGCACATCAGTCATGCAAGAATAGAAAGGCACCCAAAAAGAGAAGCTACCTTCTGGCAGGTGATTCAATTATAAGGGATGTAAATTTAGGAAAGGACACAGAGGCTTCGAAAGAGGCCAGGTGTCTTCCAGGTGCTACTGCCAGTAGGGACAAGAAGCGTATTTCTAAAATAATCAAGAATGGCAGCAAGGACTGTGATGTGGAGGCTATTGTACATCTTGGCACTAATGATCTGTCCCAAAAAGATGTACTCTCTGTGCAGAATGATTTCCAGAGCTTGGGGAAGGAACTTAGCAGAATAGGCTGTAGGCTTACTTTCTCAGAGGTTTTACCAGTGTATAAGGAGCAAAACGGAAAAGGCCAGCGCATAGCACAATTCAATATGTGGCTAAAGGAGTGGTGTAAAGGGGAAGGCTTTGGATATATTAGTCACGATGTCAGTAGCTGGTCCAATCAAAAGATGTACAAAAGAGATGGTTTGCATCCATCAAAAAAAGGGACTGAGTTATTCGGCTATAAATTCACAGATTTTCTGGAGGGAAATTTAAACTGAACAGCAGGGACAGGGAGTTAATTGATACGGAACAACCCTGTCCCCGGCAATTTAAAAATAATAGGGCTATCAGTGCATGTAGCTTAGATGTGTGTGTGGACAAGAATACCAACCTTGCTATCAAGCAAAATGAAGCCTCTAATAGCGAGTGCCACATAAAGTGCACTAACTAAATAGGTGGTAAGACAATAGGGGAACTCAGGCACCACACAGGTTATGTAGAAAGGAAACACAGGGCCACTCACAAAGGACTCAAATGTTTATACACCAATGCACAGAGTATGAACAGCAAACAGGGTGAACTAGAAATTCAGGTTAATGAGGGCAGATACGATATTGTTGCCATTACGGAAACATGGTGGGATGAAACCCACACATAGAACACACAGCTAGAGGGATTTAAATTATTTAAAAGGAACAGACCAAATAAAAGAGGAGGTGGAGTTGCTCTCTATATAAGAAATAACTACATCTCCACAGAAATAGAGCACAACAATGATAAAAACTGTCTTGAATGCATTTGGGTCAATATAAAAGGGAGGGAAAATGACATTGCCATAAGTGTATACTACAGACCACCCAACCAGAGGAAATAGATGAACTTTTTGCTAGTCAGCTAACTAAGGTATGTAGGAAGCACATCACAATAGTAATAGGGGACTTTAACTACCCTGACATCAACTGGGAGACAAACTCTGCACCAAGTGGAAGATCAAACAGGTTCCTGGCAAACCTAGCAGACAACTTTGTCTCCCAAAAAGTAGAGAAGGGAACTAGGGGATTAGCCATTTTGGATCTAATTCTCACTAACAGAGATGAAATGATAGAAGGTGTTGAAGCCATAGGAACCCTGGGAGGAAGTGATCATGCAATATTAGAATTCAACATTATAGAAGCACAAGCAATAGAACAGTCAAACTAGAGTCTTGGACTTCAAGAGAGCTAATTTCAATAAACTTAGAGAGGGTTGGGAAGGATTCCATGGATGAGAATCCTCAAGGGGAAAACAACTCAAGAAGCTTGGGAAATTTTGAAAAATGAGATAATAAAAGCACAGTCTAGCACAATACCAACAAAGAGGAAAAACAACAGCTCTCAAAAGAAACCA